ATTAATCAAATTTTAAAGACTGGCCTGATAGCTCAGTGGACTAAAGTGCCTGCTTAGGCAGAGCACAGCAGCTGGGGTTCAATCCCTGGTGTGCTGTGCCAGCCCCTCCCCTGGTGTACACTGAGACAGAGATTGAGACTGGGCATGTGGTGGCACCTATAATCCTAGTGCTTGGGAGGTTGAAAACAGGAGAATCACTACAAGTCCAATCTATGTAGTGAGACCCTATAGACCCTGTACTAAATACATTAAAAAAAAATCAAATTTTCTCCACAGTCTAGTAATATATAAATATGAAAAAGGTAACAAGACTTCCCATATAACATCTAATACAGTCCAAAAAATACCATTTATTTTAATAAAATAAACCCAATTGTCTTACCTGATCATCTAAAACTGGAAGTGACAAATCAAGGAACGATTCATGAACCAAGGAGACCTTAATCAACCAAAATAAAAAATGTAAAAGGAAGAAAAAAATTCACAGTAAACATTACACTCTTGGGGAGGTACAGCAAGATAGGTTTTAATAAATAAAGGGTAATTCAAAGTTGAAATAAAAAATTACACAACAGTGAGAACTATAGATTACGGCAAATAAAACATTAAGTAACCTCTTCAAGATTTTAGGACTGCTTATGTTTCCAGCAAAGAATCATACACATCCAACCAGTTCAACAAAAGAATACTCTATGAAGTTAGACATTTGTTTTTGAAACGAACAACTGATACACTATACTCAATGCATATGAATTAGTAAATCCAGACCACAGTATACCCACTTACAGTCCTGCATTCATCACACATGATTGTACTGGTTAGTTCACCGCCAAAGATGCGATCCACAAAACTTGGTACTGATTTTTTCTTTTCATAATCTATAAAGAAAAAAGTTTCATTTAATCATTTACCCAAGATTTGTCAGAGTAAAACACTATGCACCCCAACAAGTCTTTCTACATCAATACCTTTATCAGCAAAATGATCACATCAGATAAGAATAAGATAGTATTTTCCTCCCTTGATCTAGCCCTGATAGTCAAACATTCAGTATGTCCTGATAAAGGATACTATAATAGCAAACCTGGAGACAAAAAGAAACTTCAGGAAAATATTTCAGAATCATGAATGGAGGCACATGTCCTAACCTCAGCACTCAGGAGACTAAGGCAGGAGCACTGTATTGTAACAAGTTCAATACCAGCCTGGCCTACATAATGAGTCTGAGGTCAGCCTGACCCTGTCTCAAGAAACTAAATCAAAAAAATTTCAAGCAAAATCTTCCTTTTGGTTTTTCTATATTCCAAGAACTGATCTTAAATTTAATGTAAGGTGACATAAATTTATTTCCTGATTACCTAATTTTCCAAATATATGAAATATACTAAGTATTATTAAAAAAATATGTAAGTATTATCAAATGATAGGTAGCCATTTAAGCAAGAACATTTAGGCCTAATGGTGCCAGCAGCCATGATTCTTATACTGACCAGGGTCTAAACAGGAGGCAAAGTTGTTACAAATTGATTGGAACTATTACAAAAACAGTAATGCTTAGTTTTGGCCATTTAAATTTAATTAAAATTAAATAAAAATGTAGTTCTTCATTAGTCATCTTTTACATACTCAAGAAGCACATAACTAGCAGCTCTAATGTAGGACAACTATATGTATATGATACATTCCCTCATCCCAGTAAGTTTGGATTACACAAAGGTTTTTGTATGAAACATATTAAAAAGTTGGTTCCATATTAATAACCAGCTACTGACAACTCATACTAGTAAGTGTAATTCATGTGTCACTAATACTGATAATTCTAACTCCTTGAAAAAGAAAACTGTGATGTCACCTTAGTTCTTTCTATAAATTTGACCATAATAATGTATAAAAAGTATATATAATTTAATTTTTCTAATATTCACCTATGAATTACTGAATTTTTTTTAAAAACCAATGGTGACATAAAGAAATTATATATTAATAATTATAGATTGGAAACACATAATGCTAGAAATCTTGTCCTAATATTACAGAGGAATTCAACTATAGTGTTTTAGTTCAAAAAGTATAACATTACCTTTCACTTTATTTTTTAGTTCTTCATCCAATTTTTCAGTAGAATTACCAAATGCTTTAAGAATTCCTTTACTCACTCTCTAAAAGTAATAAAATGAATATATATATACTATTAAATTTTAAGTTTTATAGTTATTTTCCTTAGAAAATATGTAATCAAAAAAAAAAAAAAAAAGAAAAGAAAATATGTAATCAAGTCTGGAAAGAATTAACATGTAGCTCCCCAGATTTACTAAAATAAAATTTAACGTTTCCAAGATCACATTTCCAAAATTAATTCAAGGATCTAAGAAGAGTTATGCCTCTATAACAATCCCTAATACTTGAATAAAGGTATTTTCTTATTTCAAGACTGCACACCTATTCCACCAAGGCTCTTTTAAAGATGCCCATTTCCTTAGGAAAGACACTAGCGCAGTGGCTACTTGAGAGCTACTTCCACACCAATATCAAGCTCCATCATTCCTGGGTGACCATGAACTAGATTCTTTTCTTTTCTTTTCTTTTCTTTTCTTTTCTTTTCTCTCAATTTAAAAAGTTTTGCAGCTAAATTAGCTTTGCAGTTTTCAATGGAGAGGTTCAGAATACAAAATCGTTATCTGCAGCTTATCATTGTGAAAATTCTAAAACAGAGGACTTTTATTCTAATAAAGATTCTAAACTTCTCTACATCCTAGCTTCAGAATCTATGAACTGAAAACAGTAATAGCATCTACCCCACAGGATAGATGAGAATTAAGGTAGTTCATATAAAGCACTAGTCATGTTCCACAGAATGACAGAATTAAACAGTTACAACTGTTGCTATTATAATAATTAACTATATTAACATCCCCAAGTATATTATTTTACATCCTGGCAATTAACAAAAAATTTTAAATGCAACAAATGTTAATTCTTACAAAATAAAAATGATTCCTCTATTACATTATCCTTAAGAAAAAAGTAAAGTGGTGTTACAACTGGGAATTACTTTGCAAGAAACATTTTCTCTGCAGTTTTTCTGGTATAGGGTAATCATCAAAACCCTTAAAGAAAAATTATTTCTTAAAACAACTGGGATGTGGAACATTTGCCTAGCATCCATAAAGTCGTAGGTTAAGTTCCCAGCAGCACACATATAAAAAAACCAAAATTAAAATAAATCATGTGGCTTAAAAAAAAAAAAAGTAAACTTAAAGCATCTCAAAAAAGTGAGTAATTTCTAAAGCACTTGAATTATTTTAATGAAGAAAAGACACTGGCTGAAAAAGCTAGTATTAAAGAAAAGGTTAAAGTATAATGGCCTTAGCTCAGCAGATTAAAGCATCTGCAAGAAGGCACAGGGACGGGGATTTGATCCTTGGGCCTGCCATGCCGGCCCCACTCCTGGGGTACGCTGAGATGGCAACTGAGGGTGGTGTGCGCCTATAATCCCAGCTCTTGGGAGGCTATAAACCGGCAGATCACTACGAGTCTGATCTAGTAGTGAGACCCTGAACACCCTGTAGACCCTTCCCAAAAATAAATAAATGAGTATAATGGCCTCAATAACTAGCTGCCACTGCTTTAATAACCCCTAGGATGGCCAGTGGTAGGCGAGCTCACGAGATTACGTGTACAACACAATGGTCATGATATGCTAACTTGGTTTTCTTCTGCTCTCATCCCATCCAATAAATAGCGAAGTAGCTCCTGGCTGTCTTGCTGCTGGTAGCCTCTAAACCGCACTGCCCTACAGAAGGAAAATAAAAGAAAGAATAGCAATGATAAGTCTACTAAAATATGAAGCTATTTTTCTTAAACCTCAGAATCACATCCCAAACATCAGATGCTATAGTTTTCTCAAATTTCTGTTCAGTCTAATAAATGCTCTTAGAAGGTTCAGTTATCACATAAAGAACACTTCTTCACATTTGAATGAAATAAATTGTGCTTTCATATATACTTTTACTGGGTTGACTAATGCTACTAATTTTTATTGTTACTTCTCAGTATCTCACTGATGCACTAAAAGCATAGTCAAATGGATACTCACTTTTTACAGACCTGAGCAAAGAGTTCTTTAGGTGTCACGATTCCCTTCTGGGTCTCCTGCATCTCATTGAGAAACTGGTTCATGGCTATAGTCAGAGGGCCAGGAGGCTCAAGGCTTATTTCTAGGGGTTCCTGAATACGGGGAAAGAAAATTATTTTATGCATGCAAATTTTAGAGCCATTGACTTTACCAAATATAACTAGTTATTTTGCCAACATACTTAGAATTATCC